TCATTTAATTTTGGGCCAATCCTAGAGTCCCTTTCATCTTTATCTCATCCTCAGTGAAGCACAGCAGCAATCCTTCTTTCCTTATTCTCTTTTTAGTCATGTGTGTGAAGAACCCTTTGCTATGTGTTTTGATTTCCTTTCCAAGCTTCCCTTTTGGCAATTTTCACTTTATCTTACACTTTCTGATTTTGAAAACTTACTTTTCTTAGAGCAACCTTTGTTTCTTTTAAGTTCTCTGCTTACTCCTAGCATATTTTCTGAGGTTGCTATTTATTTGCTTAGGTATGGAGCTCTTCCCTCTTGCCACGGATCTGAGTTTGAGACAGTGTTTGCACCTTTGACTTCACATTCACATCCTGAGCTCTTCAGCGCATGTGTAAATGGAGAAGTCAAAGAAAAAGGGAGGGAAACAACCACACATGAAAATAAATTTAAGGTTTCCAAAATGAAGTTGTCACATGTTAGGAAATGCCAAAATTAATGTACAACATGCCCTTTCCAGGATGGCATAGAACAAAGCCTCATTGCAGACAGAATCCCATCCATCACGCCTCTGAACACAAAATCCCAGCCAGCTTTCTCAGGTACATAGATCCAGAACTAAAGATTTGCTGAGAGATTACCTGCAGCAAGAGAAATTCCACTCAACTTACACACACTTACGTGTTCAGTGCCAAAAACAGTTGGAAGAACATTTGCGGTCACCTGTTGTCGCAGCATAAAGAATATTACAGCATGGAGAAAATGTTGGGTTTTTTTAACATTTATAATTCAATCAGAATCAGAACAGGTTTTTGCCAGACCGTGGAAAATTAAGAGCATGCTTAGGTCTTTGAGGACTGGGGCTTATTTCCCTGTTAAATTCCAAATTTCTAGCCCTTCCCACTTACAGAGACCTGACTTTTGGCAAGCAAAATCCAGGACATGGTCTCAGATGTCCAACAAACCTCTGGAACCAGAAACAGTCTGCACCATTTCTGGTTCTTCTTGTTAATGTAGGCACTTCAGTGCAATGCTGATAACAGACTTGTTAGCTCTGACTCTCAGCAGAACAGTTAAACACTAATAGTTGTGTCCAAGCGGTGCTGAGCCCAAGCTCATTAGCTCTATGGAAATGCAAAATTAATTAGTTCAGGTACAGCACCATATGAAGGTAGTTATATTACAGTACTTTTAGTTCAAGTAAACCCCGACTGCCTGCTGAA